TGAAGAGTTAGTATCCAAAATCTATAAAGAACTTATTAAGCTCAACACCCAAAAAGCAAATAATCCAGTTAAACAATGGGAAGAAGTCATGAATAGATCTTTTTCCAAAGAAGATAAGATGGCTAACAGACACAAGAAAAGAATCATCTGAGAAATGCAAATCAAAACTACAATGAGATACCACCTCACACCAGTCAGAATGGCTGACGTTAACAACCCAGGAAGCAACAGGTATTAGTAAGGATGAGGAGAAAGTCCCACTGTTGGTGGGACTGAAAACTGGTGCAGCCACTCCAGAAAACAGTATGGACCTTCCTCAAAAATTAAAAATAGAACTACCATGTGATCCAGCAATTGTACTACTGGGTATTTACCCATAGGATCCAAAAGACTGATTTGGATAAAAAAGAAGAGTTGTCAACATGGTGGAGAAGTAGGGGATCCGAAGTTCCTTCTTCCCTCAAACACAGTAGTGTTGAGGCCAGCGGACTTGGAATTCCAAGAGTCCAGGCTTCAGAGTCACAGAGACATCTCCAGGGGCCCACGGAGACAACTTGGCAGGCCATAGGTGCATGATTGTGAACTGGGAGAGATAAAACAGGTGGCATAGGCACAGAGAGGAGGGATCCTCTTTTATGGAGAGACAAAAGGAAGAGAAAGAGAGGGTGTGGAAGTGTAGGATTGTATTTGGACAAGAGAAAAACCATGGACTGGAGATCGGAAAAAAACGGAGAAAGATCCAATTTCTAACTGCAGGGCTTTCTCGGAACTGGGACTGGCTGCCCTGTTCATGCGCCTGGGAGGAGGGGAGCTAGCCCTGGGCTTGGTAACTAGCTCAGAGGCGCAGTCCGCAGTGGGAGAAAGCAATCCCCTCCCTGGAGTGCTGGGGGAATAAGGTATATAGCCATTCTAAGGACAAAGGACCCTGCCTGCGCCCGCCAGCCAGAGGCCCATTATAGGCAGGGCACTTCCCCAGAACCTGGGTGTGCAGAGCAAGATCTTTTAAGACGTCAGAGTTTGAATTCCAGTCAAGTGCCTAGTAGGCGTGGGAGACTGTGGAGCGGGGCAGGGGGAAGCAACCTGCTCTCACCTATGCAGCACTGTGAGGACAGCCTGGGGGGAGGGGGACACCTCAGGGGACGGTGTCACCATTTTTCTCCTCATCACCAAAAAGGTGGGGCTTCAGGGTACCAAGGGGCCCACAGTGGAGGCAGGTCGCCTACACCAAACCACACCCCTGTGGACATGGTAACTAGCTATCTATTGGAGTGGGATTGATGCTGACCAATCAGACAGCCCTCTTCCAGATCAGTGCAGCCACTGGTTCTGAGGCACCCAGGGTTTTGCATTTTTTAATTTAATTCTTGGTCAATTCTATATATTTTTTTCTTCTTCTTCTTCCTTTTCTTCCTCTTATATTTCCCTTCTCTAGTCTGGTTATTCTGGTTGTATAAGCAGACATATTTAATATGTTCTCTTTACACCTGTTCTGTATCTCCTTATTCTTTATTTTCCTCTCTCTCTAGATTAAACCATATAGTTTCTCTGCCTGGTCTATTTTATTTTATTTTATTTTATTTTATTTTATTTTATATTTTATTTTATTTTATTTTATTTTATTTTATTTTATATTTTTCCCCACCCCAGTCATTTCTCTCTTTGTATGGGATAAGGCTTCTTCCACCACCACCACCATCCCCTTTTTTTAAAAAAATTGTTTTTCCCAAGGTTACTTCAATGAACAAATCAAAGCACACCTGGTGGAGGGTTCAAACCACCACTACAAGTAGGGAGATATGGCAACCAGAGTCACAACAACAGACAGCATGTAACACACTGCAAAAATACCTCCTGATGGGCCAGGCCTTGGACAATGTATGACCCCTCTTTAATATCATAGTGCTTGCCAGTTCAGGACACATAACAAGCTATTAAAACATATAAGGGAAAGAAAACTAGCCAAAATGATAAAACAGAAGAATTCTCAAAAGAAATTCCAAGAAGAAATGACAGCTAAAGAATTGCTCTAAACAGATATAAGCAATATATATGATCAAGCATTTAGAATAATAGTCATAAATTTAATCCCTGGGCTTGAAAAAAGCATAGAAGTTAGCAGAGAATCTATTGCTGCAGAGATCAAGGAACTGAAAAATAGTCATGACAAATTAAGAAATGTAAATGAGGTGCAGAATAAACTAGATGCAGTGACAGTGAGGTTGGAAGAGGCAGAGGTGAGAATAAGTGAAATAGAAGACAAAATTATGGAAAATGATGAAGCTGAGAAAAAGAGAGATAAAAAGTACTATACCATGAGGGGAGAATTAGAGAACTAAATGGTTCAATGAAGGGTAATAATATCCATATTATAGGAGTTCCAGAAAAAGAAGAGAGAGAAAGGGGCAGAAGGTTTACTTGAACAAATTATAGCTGAAAACTTCCCCAATCTGGGGAAGGAAGCAGACATCCAAATCCAGGAGACATAGAGAACTCCCTTCGGACATAACAGGAATAGGTCTTCTCCATGACGTATTATAGTGAAACTGGCAAAATACAAAGACAAAGGATTCTGAAAGCAGCTAGGAATAAACAGGCCTTAACCTAAAAGGGTAAACACATAAGGTTAGTAGTAGAACTTTCCACTGAAACTTGGCAGGCCACAAGATAGTGGCAGAAAATATTCAATGTACTGAATAGGAAAAATATGCAGCCAAGAATCCTTTATCCAGCAAGGCTGTCATTCAGAGTAGAAGGAGAGATAAAGGCTTTCCAAGACAAACAAAAACTGAAGGAGTTCATGACCACTAAACTAGCCCTGCAAGAGATCCTAAGGGGGACTCTGTGAGTGGAATGCTGCAAAGACTACAAAGGTCCAGAGATACCATCGCAAGCATGAAACCTACAGATAACACAATGACACTAAATCCATATCTTTCAATAATAATGGATGAAATACTCTGATGTAAATGGTGTAAATGCTCCAATCAAAAGACATAGGGTATCAGAATGGATAAAAAAATGGATTAAAAAAAAAAAACAAGATCCATCTATATGCTGTCTACAAGAGACCCATTTTAGACCTGAGGATACCTTCAGATTGAAAGTGAGGGGATGGAGAACTATTTATCATGCCACTGGAAGTCAAAAGAAATCTGGAATAGCCATACTAATATCAGACAAACTGGATTTTAAACTAAAGGTTGTAACAAGAGATGAAGAAGGGCATTATATCACAATTACAGTGTCTATCCATCAAGAAGAGATAACGATTATAAATGTTTATGCACCTAATTTGAAAGCACCCAAATATATACATCAATCACAAACATAAGCAATCTTATTGATAAGAATACAATAATTGCAGGTGATGTTAATATTCCACTTACAACAATGGACAGATCATCTAGGCAGGAAATCAATAAAGAAACAATGGCCCTGAATGATACACTGGACTAGATGGACTTGACAGATAAATTCAGAACTTTTCGTCCAGAAGTAGCAGAATACACATTCTTCTCGAGTGCACATGGAACATTCTCTGAGATCACATACTGGATCACAAGACTGATTTCAAGGGATACATGCATACCCTGATGTTTCTAGCAGCATTCTAGACAAATTATGAAAAGAGCCCAAATATCCATTGATTGATGAATGGATAAATATGTGAGATAGATATATATATATCTATATCTATATATATATATATATTAGAATATTATATATATATATATTAGAATATTACCCAGCCATAAAAAAGAATGAGATCTTTCCATTTACAATGATATGGATGGACCTCGAGGGTATAATGCTAAGCAAAATAAGTCAGTCAGAGAAAGACAAATTCAATATGATTTCCTTCATGTGGAATTTGAGAAATAAAACAGATGAACATGGAGAAAAAAGAGACAAAGCAGAAGAAAGACTTTTAAGTATAGAGACTATAGAGAACAAACTGAGGGTTGTTGAATGGGAGGTTGGGCTAAATGGGTGATAGGTATTATGGAGGGCACTTGTGATGAGCACTGGGTGTTGCATGTAAGTGATGAATCATTAAATTCTATATCAGAAACCAATAATACACTACATGTTAACTAAGTGGAATTTAAATAAAATTTTAAATTTTAAGAAACTGAAAAAAATACATGTAATTATTGACTCTCAACTGGATCTTTTTGCTATAAAGTGCCAATATTTTGATGAAGGGTAAATTTGGATGACATCTGAAGATTAGATATTAGTAATGCATAATTATTTCCTGATTTTGAAAGATTTTAGAATTAATATCTATGTAAGAATTGTACATTAAAATATTTAGAGTTACTAGGATTGTGTTTGACAACTTATTCCTCATTGTCCCAGGAAAAAAATTTATTCTTTTGGATGATTTTTATGTCATTTCCCTATATTTTAGGTTGTTACAAAATCAAATAAAAAATCATTATATATTACATATAGAAGCACAGAAATATTAACATAGGCAACAAAATAAAAAGAATATAGGGTTTATACATTTTTTGTAATCAATGTTGAGATATTTTAATTGATCAATTTTGTTATCAAAGTAGAAATGCTTGTGATTTTTCACTAACATTTTCAATTATATTTCTTCAGTTTTCTACATAAATTTTCTATTATGTTTCATTTTCTTATAATTAGTGCTTATAATAATGATTATAATTGTGATGTTGGAAGTCATAATGAAAGTAATAATAGGATATGTATAAAGAAAGATTTTTGTGTGGCAAGCATTGTGTTTTAATATATTCTAACTCATGTCACCTTAACTTCCTCTACATGTTCTATTATATTGAGTTACCATAGAAATAAACTTATTGCTGTTATTTATAACTTGTATTAACAATAAAAACACTTCCTTCCTTCTTGGCTCTTTGGTAAGTGAAATATTACAGAATTTATAGTACTTTTCAGTAATTCATAGAGTGTTACTTTGATACTGATTTTATTCCATTTATCTGAAGAATATGATTTACTTTTAGACATTCCCATGGTGTAAAGTATTTTAGCAGTTGCAGCATGGATGAATTTAAGCACAAGGTTTCACAGCCTGAATTTGAATGTCTTCAGAATAAAACAGTTTCAGAAGTGGTTCGCCAAGGAAGAACTGCAATTTGTGGTAATAAAATTGTGGAACCACCAGAACAGTGTGATTGTGGTCTTCCAGAGGTTAGTGACAAACATTAATAATTTATCTAAAGATTTGTTTTTGTGTTTCTCATGTAGTTTTATAAATATAGATGTGATATAGGAGGACTTTCTTTGAAATGCTGAACCATTTTATTAAACATCTAAGATATGGAGGTATGGGGCTTTTGATAACTGACATCCTGAATTTGAAGCATTTGAAGAGTTTAAGTGAGGGGTAAGTGTAGCATGGATTAAAGAGGTAGATTTTCTTTATTATGTAACCATTAATAGCAATACCCACCTTTCTGTATCATAAACATTATTAACATCTATACTAATATCATTACCTCAATCATGTCCTGAATTCCTCCAGAGAGACTGTATTGGTTCATTAAGTTCTTACATGTATGTTGTTGTTTACCTCCTCATCTCCTGATTTCTGTCCTTGCATCTGGGGTAACTTTATTTAACTTAACTTCACAGAATTGGGTTAATAATCCTTGGTTTGTTACTGTTATATTTAAGTATTTGCCATTACCTTTTTTTTTCTTTCAGTTCTTGGTAAGATAGCGAATCTGCATTTTATTATGCCTGTCTTTATATTGCATGTTGATTTTTTGGAATGTCCCATATTTGGTTGAGAAAATGTAAACTCTTGAATTGTTAGAAACTAAATTCTTTTTTTTTTTTTCAAAATTTTTTTTCAACTTTTTAAATTTATTTTGGGACAGAGAGAGACAGAGCATGAACGGGGGAGGGGCAGAGAGAGAGGGAGACACAGGATCAGAAACAGGCTCCAGGCTCTGAGCCATCAGCCCAGAGCCCGACGCGGGGCTCGAACTCACAGACCGCGAGATCGTGACCTGGCTGAAGTCGGACGCTTAACCGACTGCGCCACCCAGGCGCCCCGAAACTAAATTCTATATAACTTGATTACATCATAATTTTTAAGTGATTGCTTCAAATCTTCTGTATGAATCTTATTTACCTGAACTCTTGGCACTTGAGAGATAATATTTATGTTTTCAACTATGCAGTTGGATTTGCCTAATTCTTACTATAGGCTATTCAATTTATGCTATTCAATTTATGTGTTTTGAAGCTTTTTGATATGGTAGAGAATTATGGTGGAGATTGTTATATCTTCCTGGAAATGTAACTTTTATTTTCAAATACTGAATCTCTTTATTCCAGTGTTGCTTTCTGTTTTAAAGTCTATTTAGTCTGACATATCTATATATCTATGCACACACTAGTTTCCCTTAATTAGCATTTCTATGATATTTCTGTATTCTCATTTACTTTTCCTGTACTGTTAAGTTCAAGATCTACATTGGGTTTTAATTTATTATCCTATCTATCTTTTATTTATCAGATTATCCTCTTAAACATTTTTGTGATTAATTTTTGCATATTTTTAATTAACTAAAGTCTATAATTTATTCAGATTTCTTTCTTTTTTTATGTTCAAGTTTGTTTGTTGGTTTATTTATTTATTTATAGAGGGAGGGGAAGAGAGAGAAGGAGAGAGAGATCCTAAGCAGGCTCTGCACCTGTCAGTATGGAGCCTGACTCAAACTCACGAACCATGAGATCATGACCTGAGCCAAAATCAAGTCAGATGCTTAACCAATTGAGCCACCTAGGCATCCCCAGGTTTCTTTTCTTTATACTGAATAGCCTCTTTCTGTGCCAGGATCTTCTCTAGTATACCTCATTACATTTAGGTGTTATGACTCCTTACAGTCCTCCGTACTGCATATTTTTTATAACTTTAGTTGCCCCAAATTTCCATATTTTTATGTTCATTTTGCCACATTTGTTTTTTAATTGAATTTTTGTTCTGTTCATTTCTTTTGATCTGTGTGTTTTGTTTTTCTTTCTTCCTCTATTTAAGCAATTTAGTGGATATATACTTTTTATTTTCCTTTACTGATTATTCTTGCATTTTTGCTATACATATTTAAGTTTTAACCATATCTAGGCCACTTTCAGAATAATGGGGTTTACAATTTACAACCCAATTAACTTACATAACATTTTTATAAATATTGCATTTCTGTCACCTCTGTGCTTTACATTAGAAAATTCCTTATAACTTTTATTCTGAAAATATTTACTTTATTTACCTATCATTTCTTTTGGTTGTTAGGGTTTTTTGCATGTCAAAGTTTCACTGTGAAGAATTTTATTTAAATTATATTCTCTTTCTTAAAATACACATTAGTATTTTTTAGTTCTCCTTAAAGGAAGTTTTCTGCCCACTTTAATGATAAATATTTATGTGATATATAATTGTGAAATACAATACACATGAAATATATGCATGAAAGATGAACAAAGTGTGTAATGGATATATACTTAAAAAGCATCTGAATAATTTGCACTCAGGCCTTATCAACTAAGTTTGAAAGTGATCACTCCTCTTCAGTTTTCAGGAAGAGTTTAGGAGGGTAACATTTAGTTAAATTTTTTGTGAACATTTGGAAGAATTCACCAGTGAAGCCAACTGGACTTGGTCTTATGATTCTTTGGAGTTTTTTGATTACTGACCCTATCTCCTTACTAGTAGTCAATCTATTCATATTTTCTGTTTCTTAATGATTCAGTTTTGGTATATGTATTTCTAGGAAGTTATCCATTTCTACTAAGTTGTTCAATTATGGGCATATAATTTTTCATAGTAGTCTCTTATGAACCTTTGTACTTCATGGTATCAGTTGTAACCTCTCCTCTTCCATTTCTGATTTTATTATGAAACTTATTTTTCTGTTTCTTGGTGAGTCTAGCTAAAACTTTGTCAATATTTTTAATCTTTTAAAAGAATTGACTCTTGGTTTCATTGATCTTTTAGATTGGGATTTCAGCCTCCATTTAATTTACTAACATCTGATTTTTGTTATTTTCTTTTTTCTACTAACTTTGTTCTTCTTTTTCTAGTTCCTATAGGTATAAAATTAAATTGTTTAAAATTTTTTTGTTGTTTGAGGTAGGCCTATATTGCTATGTACTTTCCACTTGGAAATGCTTTTACTGCATCCCATAGATTTTTTTTATGTTGCATTTAAATTTCATTCATTTCAAGGTATATTTTGAGTTTTAAAAAATTTCTTTATTGACTTATTTGTTATTCACTATCATACTATTTTACCACCATATACTGAATTTTTAATTTTTCTAGTTTTCTTTTTGTAATTGATCTCTTGTTTCATACCTTTGTCAGAAAAGATGTTTGATAATGATTTTAGTCTTCTTAAAAGTACTGAGACTTCTTTTCTGGCCAACACATGATCTAAAATGGAGAATTTTCCATGTGCACTTGAGAAAAATGTGTATTCTTGCTGCTTCTGGATGGAATGCTCTGTATATGTCTATTAATTTATCTGGTCAAATGTGTTTTCTTTTATTAGAAAAATAAAGTAGTAATAATTCTAAAATTTCATAAGTCTATGGTAATATATTTTTAAAAGTGTGTGAAATTGTTTTTTTTCCTCTCCAAATTTTTATGTAAACTCCCATTAGTTAACATGCTTCAGTAGTAGAATGTAGTGATTCGTCACTTACATATAAGGCCCAGGAGTCATCACAAGTGCCCACCTTAATAGTCATCACCCATTTAACCCATCCCCCACCCTCCTCCCCTCCAGCAATCCTTAGTTTGTTCTCTATAGTTAAGAGTCTGTTAATGGATTTGCTTCTTTCTTCTTTCCCCTCTATGTTTATCTACTTTATTTTTTAAGTTCGACATGTGAGTGAAATCATTGGAGTGCATGTATCCATTTCTCAGTACCATAATGGACTGTGCTGCAACGCTTAGGAGAGAGGAAAGGGCAGGCCAACTATCATCAGTTCACTGCCACACCTTAACCAACATATATAGCTTTCATTCTATTTGGATGAAACCCTATATCCTTGCTCTGTTTATTTTTGAAGGAAGGTGCCAAAGGTGTTGGGTCAATGCTAATCCAAATGCATTATGTCAGATAAGGAATTGAGGCCCTCTTGTCTTCCTTTTACTTGTCCACAGTAAAGCACAAGAGTGGCCAGGAACAGTCCATTGTCATGGCCCAAGTATTTAAGTACCATGGGTCTTCTTTAGGTCAGTAGTGAGAATTTCTCCCAAGGGCAGACTATTAATGTTCTCATTAGATTCTCTCTGGCTTAATATCCAGATCTACATGAACCTATGGCTCAGACTTCAATTATTGGTTGATTTATTTATCTTCTGGCCCTTGACTTGCATGGAATTTTGTTTGGACTTTGCCAACGCATCCATTCTGGAGACCTTATTGCCCAGTTCATGAATAGTTTCCAGAGACTATTCCTAGACACAAGAGGAAAATGAGTTGTCTCTGATAGGCTGGTTGCACTAGAATGGTTTTAAGTGAACTGATTTGGGTGACCATTTCATCATCTGAGCACTTAGTCTTTATTAAAAATCTAGGACAGAGTCACAGTGCACCTAAGGGAAGAGGTAGCTTGACCCACTGGATTTCAAGGTATTTATTGGAGAATGGAGATTCATTATGGATAGGCCAGTTTTATTATGGCTGTAAAGACCTACTGCAATAAACCCCAAGAGGTTTTCACATTCCCATTCTTCATGTGCATGCCATTAGCCAGAGTGGTCATTGACCAACTGTACTTAGAGAATGAAGTTAGTTCTTTTTTTTTTTTTAATTTTTTTTAAAGATTTATTTGTTGTTGAGAGACAAAGAAAGACAGAGCATGAGCAGGGGAGGGGAAGAGAGGGAGAGAGGGAGACATAGAATCTGAAGCAGGCTCCAGGCTCTGAGCTGTCAGCACAGAGCCCTATGTGGGGCTTGAACTCATATACCACGAGATCATGACCTCAGCAGAAATCGGACACTTAACTGACTGAGCCACCCAGGCGCCTTGAGAATGAGGTTAGTTCTTGAGTAACAATGACTTCCTAGCCTTCAAATCTAGCATAGATCTCTAATATTGTAATTGGATGAGGTAGCTTTAATAATTTTATCAGGTTTTTGCCCAAGTATATCTAATTTCTTTCCTTTCTC